GATATGCTTAGAACTTTAGCGGTATAAGCAACAAGATGATGTTATGTTTAAAAATAGCATGTTATAACATGATCTGACCAGGTGGGTTTAAAAGTCAATAGTCGTTTCTTAAAAACATTTGCCTTATTAAAAATTCACTGTTTTGGATACTCAGACAACTGGTATTCATTACTTTAGAGTACGGCTAACTCTAGAGGAAGCTTTAAAATTTCTTCAAGTCAAATCTTGGCTCACGAAATTCCAATCTCTACCAGAAACAAACTACAACTGAGGGATAAAACTGATTTTTAAGGCAGGCCAAGGTGTGGCGATAATGTAGAGGGGAAGAAACGCAGATCGATCCTGAAGTCCTATCAGACAGGGCTGTTCCACAAGGATAGCTTTTCAGAGTCAAGACTAAATACGTAGGGATGAGGCTCCTGAGAAGAGCAGTTACTCTGAAACTTGCACAGTCTTATTAGAAACAGAGCAAACTAGACCATATGTGCATTTCATTTTTATAAAAGCAAAGCATTTCTTTTAAAAAGCTATTCTCGTTCACTAAGGCCAGCAGAGAACCTTAATTAATTCTGGAGACGTTAACTGCCCTAAAGGCAAATCTGAAGTGATGTTTACTTGTGAGTATAAATGGAATGACATTGGGGAGGGACAAAATGAAAATATTTAGCAGAGAACTAATATGTACCCTCATTGACTAAGCATTTCCAGTCTTAGTAACTGAGAAAACAGGCAATGAAATAGAAAAAAATTTCTTGTAGCATTGTTCTTAATACCAAAAACTGAAAACTGGAAAGAGGTTAAATATACAGTACATGGTCAAGTAAGCCTGTTGTTAACCACATGATAAAATATAATGAGATAAAATGTTAAAATTATCTAAAAATTATACAAGCAAAAGTAGTCCCTATGTATTTCTGAAGAAAGAAAGGAGATTGAGATTGTAGATGATCTTTACTTTTTTGAAGGCTATATCACTTGCTTTTCTGTAGTAAATAGTCTTACTTCTGTAATAGTCATTAAAGCATTGACTTGACATAATCATGCAATGTTAGGTTATTTGAATTCTTCTAATATGGAAGGCTGCATATACTAAAGAGGAAAGTGGTATAGGAAAGAGATGAAGAGAAAAAAGAAGGGAGTGGACCACCATCTTAGTTATCACTGCATCACGTGAATGTGCTATACAGTTTTAAGATCATTTCAGCTTAGCAACCTGGGAAGACATTTGCAAGAGAACCCGAAAGTACACATTGAGTACCTCCAGGATTTCAGCTGGCTCTCATAGATTTAATATTTTTGTGGAAGAAGCAGGTGGCTTAAAAACAAAACAAAACAAAACAAAATAAATGTCTCTCCACTGCTTTTTAGCAACAGCTAGTTTGTCTCTAACCTTATTTGGAGCTAATCAAGCTTTAGCTAAGCAAACTCAAACTGGCATATTGACTTCATCCACACGGTCATATGAGTCCTCTGGATGATGCCTCCTGCCATGTGTCTAAATCACTTTAAGAAATCCATGCTTGAGGAGGAGTCCTACAGCAGCATGAGTCTAATGTGGGACTAAGAAATAAAGTACCATGGAGACCACTCCACCTGCTACACTTGAATCTGGTGCCATCACTGCCACCAAAAACTGGCAGTGGATGTCTGGACAAAGGAAAAATTCTACTAAATGCAAATGAGAAATTTCTATCATACACTTGAGCTTCGTCCACAGTAACATATTTTAAGTGCCTTGCTAGACAGTGAAATCTGGTAATAATTATCAAACACCATACACAGTTTACAATAGAATCACATTTCTTTTCTTTCTTTCCCCCTCCTGCTTTTTTTTTTTTTGCATGAAAAATAGAATGCTGCTGAATGGTACCCAAATGCCTGTTGTATACCATGCCAACACAGCAGCTCAGCCAAAAATGTGAATAGAATGCTTTGCCAAGTAAAAGAAAACATAACAAATTGGTAATGGTTTCTATCTTGACAGAAACTGAAAATGATCCCTCAATGTGTGGCCACTCATGTGGACACATAAAAATGTCTTAGAAGCAATCATTTTACCTCAGATAACAGACCCTGACAGTGCCATACAGCATACTGGCTAACTTTCACGTCTCAAAAGAGACAGCAACCATGACCTACAAAACAGTCTGGGAACCATGTAATTTATGCATAACACACATGCACATGCCATGCACTTATAACATTTGCTATAACTCATTTTGAATATGAAATCCCTTTCCCGGGCAGAATTCACATTCATGAGTGAGAATCTAAGTCATCAGTGACCCAGTGAAGCTGAGCTGGCCACTCTGTGAACACAAGTGATGTAGTTCTTATAAAGCTACACAATTCTGTGGTCTACAGTGCGATGCAAAGCCTTACATAAGGACACTGTGTGTTCTAGAGGGTTCTGAAGAGTGTCTGCATTACTAGAGATATTCTTGTAAAGATGTTGCATTAAACAAACACCAATAATACCCTGGAGGTACAGGCATACAGATTTGATTTTCTTCTTAGAAGGTGACAACTGGAAGGAAAAACGAATCCCCAAGACTGGCTAATGACCCCTTTATTTCCCTTCCTTTACCCCATTTTTTCATTCAGATGGCGAATAAACCAACATCATAGACCACTGATCCCCCCCCCCCAACTTAAGGGAATTTTCTTATTTAACTTTCAAATGGGGGGGATTAGATAAAACATTGATTATATGGCCAAATCCTTTAAAAAATAAAATTGAGCCTTTTAAAACACATAATTGGTATCTGAAGATAAAGAGGAATTCAGGACTAGGAAATACTGAATCAAAGGATTCGGAAGAATCCTAAGAAGTTAACTAATCTTGCCAAGTTGAAGGTAAATCTGAATCTTGTGGGTTATGGGTTTTGAATGAAACTTCTGGGGTTTGAATTTGATGGTGACTTTCCTGCTCAATAAAAAAGTGCTTAGACGGCTAATAAAAAGGTTAGGAAAACTTAGTGGGCACTGAGCTGCTCTTACAAAATGCCCATCTTGATGAGTTAAGTGAATCAGAAACACATGGGTCACATTTCCTTAAAAACTGCACAGATTCTAAAGAGTGTGTGTATATGTGTGCTGACCCCCAAATAAATATTTGAAAGATATTTTGAGACACTAAAAGAATTCAAAATAAAAGTTACATAAAAACAGAGTGTTCTTCTATGTAGCGGGCACTTGTCTCTATGGGCCATCAGCAGTGGGGAAGCCTTTGGCACAGAACTACAGGAGTGGCCAGCTTCTGCCTTCAAGAACTACAGGAGTGGCCAGCTTCTGCCTTCAAGAACTACAGGAGTGGCCAGCTTCTGCCTTCAAGAACTACAGGAGTGGCCAGCTTCTGCCTTCAAGAACTACAGGAGTGGCCAGCTTCTGCCTTCAAGCAACTTTGAATTTAGGTAGAAAGAAACACTACATAAGTACTAAAAACTGGTTACAAGAGATCAAGGGTTTTTAAAGACTGGCATCATAGCCCAGATCCTATGGAAACTATAAATTAATGGAGAAGTATACAGATAGTTTTCAGGGTCCTGGAGTAGGTAGGCTTCATTCCATTCAAGCGATTCTCATGTAGTCCTATTGGCTAAAGTTACATTCAGTTGCAGAGTTTTACTTGTTTAAATGTTTTCTTAATAAGTGTTTTTTATGCCTTTTTAAATGTGTGTCCAGCCCTTTATCCTCCACCCACTAGATTTGTAAGTACGCCACAAATCTTTCTGACTGCTTTCTTGGATGGTGGGAGTGTTGGACAGTTTTGAAATAGGGGAGATACTGTTGGCAGGGAGCAAGGGGCCATGATTCTGGGTTGGGGTAATGGCACACATGACAGTTCAGAGGCTCCAAAGGGTGAGTCACATGTGTGGGGGTACTACACTGGTTGGCCTGTTTCAAATGTGCCTGAGCCAGAATACTGTAGGAGGTGGAGGCAGTTAGGTGTGGGGAGGCCTAATATACTGCATGTGAAGTCAACTTGAGGACAGGGGTGTGATAATAGAAAATGGGGTTTCACTGGTTTTGGTTTTTGCTTATACCTTCTTCCCCAGAATAAGATGAAGTTCTAAGCACATGGCACATAGACATCTTTTCTTTAAAAAGCTAAAAAGTATCTAAAGAAAATTAATCATGTGCCTGTTCCTAGTATCCTGTAGAGAAACTTGAATAGGAAGTTGGTAGGGAATATATTACTAAAATAGATGACTGAATTCTAAAATGTTTGTGTGAAAGTATACAAACATATTGATTTCCTATCTTTTAAGTTTTGTTTCCTAGCTGTTGTTTGAGTTTTAAGAAAACCAATCTTGCCCGGTGGTGGTGGCTCACGCCTTTAATCCCAGCACTTGGGAGGCAGAAGCAGGTGGATCTCTGTGAGTTTGAGACCAGGCCTGGTCTACAGAGCGAGTTCCAGGACAGCCTCCAAAACAAGACAGAGAAACCCTGTTTCGAAAAAACCAAAAAAAAAAAAAAAAAAAAAAAGAAAGAAAGAAAGAAAGAAAACCAATCTTCTCTCTCAGCTTGGACTTTTAGGGGAGTGCCTGGACCCTGCCCTGAGCGAAATGACAGACTCTGGGTATCCGCTATGTGGAAGGAAGTGGGGATAGGGTGGGAGGCTGGGAGAGATGGTGGCAGGGGGTGTGGGAGGAGGGGAGGGAGAGGGAACTGTGACTGACATGTGAAGCAAGCTATTTAAAATTAAAATAATAAAATAAAAAAGAAGACCAATCTTATCTTTTTTAACAAATAATTTTAGTAATTACTTAGGCATCAAATCTTTTTATCCATTTTTTTCCTGGCTCACATACTGCCATTAAGAGAATGACTGTGAGTTCATTTACTTCACTTCATAACTGAAATGAAGTAAAAGGGCGGGGAGCCCCTAGAGTACTGAGGGTAGAGTTTGGAAAGGATGCTGAGCAGCAATGTCCCAGTGTCTGTCTTCACGCTGAGTCTCCGGTTCATGGTCAATATAAAGAAACCCAAGTCCTTACCATCCTTCATCATCTTCCACTTCTGCTTCAGGAACATTGTTCTCAGGCGCTTCAGTAATCGCTTGAGTGAGCTTAGATTTAAACTGGCTCAGCAGTGCAAGGGTCTGAAATGACAATGAGACGCTAAGTTGTTGATAAAAGTCATCTGAAGAGAGACACTTGGAAAAAAAGAAAATAATCTACTTGGATGTAAGACACAGGCAAATGTTTTTTGCTTGCTTGTTTGTTTTTTAATCAATAAAACTGCTTTCAGGCTACAGAGGTGGCATTAGTAAACCCCCACACTGTCCTGCCTGGATCTGCACTGGCATCTTTTCCTTAGAGACATTTCAGTGTTTCCTATTCTAAGACTTAAAGGTGCTCTCACACATCAGACACTCTGACTGTAAAACGCATGCTCATTGACAAGCTTTTAGTGCTTTCCAAACAGAAGAGCAAGTCACCAGCATATGCTGAATCAAACACAAGACGTGAAAACCTCTACACTGAGAAAGTAGAATGCATGAACCCACCAATAGGTGGACTACGGGTAAAGTGAAATAACATTTTAAGAAACTCTTGACATGTCTTAGAAACTGAAGTGCATTTCCTCTAATTCAGCAACTCTGACCTGGGAACATATTTAAAAAAAATAATCTGAGGTCAGAAAATGACTTGTACAGCAATATTCATCTAGATAGAATATGAATGCTAACATGTTAAATATCTATGAAAAGAAATTCAATAAATTTGGTAAAAAGCAACAGGTATGTCATTGTATGGTTGTCAGAAATTACAGAAATGAGTAATACATCCTACTGGAAATACTTAGAGAAAGACGCTATAAGGATCTCAACAGGCATTTTTGTTGCTGCTGCTACTGCTGTTTTGTTGTTGTTTTTTTTTTTAAGAAAAAGAGCAAACTTTGGATTCTTAGTTTTCTCTTAGCCTTGTGGGCAAGAAGCTACAAATGACTACACACTTCTGCAATCACATCTCCTCCTGGTTACAGTTGACAGTCTTCTGGAACTTAAGCAGAAAACATGGGCTAGGGATGAATGTTTTCTACTTAGGTTTTAAAGAGCTCCTCCTCGTGAACAGGGATGTGGCACAACCAGCCTGAAAAGAGGGCCTAATAACAAGTTTGGCATTTTAATTCAACCCTAAATTCTCCATTCTTCAAGGAATATGTGGATGCTGGTCCAACATGTGAGTGACAGGAATTGGCGGCAGGAGAGGTACTTAGGCTCCATAATCACAATCTTGAGACCATTAAGATTTAGCTCAAGGAAAAATTAAGTAGTAATTATAGTCTAGTTTGAGCTCAATAAAGAAGAGGTGTCAAAATACTTGCAAGAAACACAGAAGCTATTGCTAAAAAGGTAGTAAAAAGGATATTACTTTATAAAATATTCAATTCCCACAGGGGCAAGAATGAAAAATAGACACATTACCATAGTTGCTATTTCAACAAAATGTCATCACAGGCAACCTGAGGGCAACCTGTGTTAGGCCTTGAACATTTTTATTGCTTTTAAAGTAGACATTCTAGAATTAAGAACTTCAAATAATGTTAACATTCCTTGTTTTTAATTTAAATTTGAGTCAGTAAAAAACAAAACAAAACACCCTATTGACTACAACTTTATTATAGTGAGAAAAAAGACTAATGCAGAGATTTGGGGAAACAGAGAAACAAAATAGAAATAACCACTATTTCATGACGCAGAATAGCCAGTGTTAATAGTTTTGGCAAATGCCATTTAAGAGTGTATGCATACATGCTTGTTTATGTTTTATATATGAATATCTTGGTATCTGTATCTCCATATCTAACTAAATTTGAATATTAAAAGTAAGTCACATGAGTTTTAAAAGGTAATCACTTACATAATTGGAAATGTATACATAATGTTAAAGACTTATTTTTAGTTATGTGTATATCTGTGTACTCACACAGTGTATGTCACAGAGACCAGAAGCATTGGGTCTCCTTGAAGCTGGCATTACAAGCAGTTATGAGCCACTCATCATAGGTTCTGAACTTGGGGCCTCTGCAAAAACAGTATGTGCTCTTAACAGGCTGGGTCAACTCTTCAGCTTGGAAATATATGCTTTGAGGAAATAAAGAACAATGAAAACAAGGAACAAGAATTTCTTAGTGGAATGAAAATGTAAAATTTCCTGCAGAATTATGCTAGATGTGGATCTTTCCCCTGGAGTTAGAGTGGAAAGGTTGTTCATTTTTAGGGCCAATTATCATGTTAATAGCATTTGCTTAAAACCATTAAAAACAAACAAAAATCTCCTTGCTCATTCTGAGCTTCTCTTTCATTTAAGAACATCAGATTTGTCTAGGTACAGCCTGCAGTAAAAGACACAGTTCAGAAGATATGACACTACATTTATGGGGCACATTGTAGGTGATGGTAGCACCTACAATGGAGGCATTTCTGGTTGGCATTTGCTGGGGAATGACTCAGTATGCAGGTTTCTATTAAAGGAACATCTATAACCGAGAGTCTTCTACTTGACTACTGTGCGTCTGTCCCCTCTTTGGTGGTCCATGCTGGGAGAGATGGCCGCAGACTACAAATGATATCATGTTATTTCCTGGTAGCAATGGTTCTTTACTGCATAGAATAAATCTACATCCTTACTAGAGTTTAAATATGAGCAGACTCCTGTTTACTCTTCTATGTCAGTTTTGTCTTCTGGATGGGTTAGCCATGGTATCTTTCCTCTTTGAATGAGGGTGAAGACTTCCCACACAGACTCCTTCTGCCTCACCACATACTGCTCTGCTTCACCTGGGTATCTCCTGGTTGGTCTATAAACTCAGGAGGATTGCTTTCTCAGAGAGACCTTTTTAGGTTCTTTGGTCATGTGTAGATCCTACTGTTAACATTTCTACAGTTCCTTAGGACCCATTCTTTTGACAATGCTCACAGCTTTCTGTTGGTATTACTCACTTAATGGGCTCTTTCCCTAGATAGTTCAGAAAAGTCAGGGAGCTACTTACTTGCTGATCACTAAAAACAGAGATTAGGCTCTTAAATAGCTATCTATCTATCTATCTACCTATCTATCTATCTATCTATCTATCTATCTATCTATCTATCTATCTATCTATCATCTATATGCAAGGTTTTTCTGTATAGCTTTGGAGCCTGCCCTAGAAGTTGATCTGTATACCAGGCTGGCCTGATTAAATTAACTTAACCAAACAGGCTTTGAGTTTTAATACACTTTTATTTTGTTTATTTATATCTCTAAAATAGTATATGCTCATACATGCAAGGTAACACCAAACATCTATTTCAGACTGCCCCCCCCCCCAAGATTTTTAAATTTCACGTGTATGAGTATGTGCACTATGTGCATGCTTGGTGGCATAGGGGGCCAGAAGAGGGTGCTGCATCCCTTGGAACTGGAGTTATGAACAACTGGAGTTGTGAATGGCTGTCAACTACCATGTAAGGTGCTAGAAACTAAACCCTGCTCCTCTGCAACAGAAGCAAGTGCTCTTAACCACTGAGGTACCCCAGCTCCAGCCTCACACCTTTTCAACATAAAAGGCCATGGAAAGAATTGTTCTATCAATTTCCTATACCATCTGGCAAGCTGGCTAGCTTATTCTACCTCTTCTTATCTGCTAACATTAACTTCATATCACTGCTTTACAACATTGAGAAACTTTCTTGCAATGAACAGGGAAATCCTATAATCTTAGGCAGCATGCTATTTCATGTTCAGTATGTGCTATGCTGGGCCAGAAGAGGTCCTTATACTTCTACAGCCTTTGCTGCTCCATGGATCACAGGAGACAATACTCACTGCATTTCTGAAAACATGGGGTCTTACGAAACTCTTATGCTCGACATGAGTGGACCAGTTGAAATTTCAAAGTTTGAAGGATATCTCACACAAATATCTGAGAAGAACTTTAAAATTTGGATCCTATGAGTGGTCTAGCTTATTGTATTCTATCGTGTACATTTTTTCTTCAGTGCTTTCCTGGACACATAATCATATTAGAGCAACACTGGAAAAGAATAAAAATAAGCACTGAACTACACATGGACTTTGGTTTTATAGTTACCTGATCTTCTCGCGACGTTCCCTTCTTTGGCTGTTGCTTCCTCAAAGCTTCATACTTTTGTTTTTCTCGCCTGTATTCTGCCACAGCGCCATCTGGGGCAGGCTCTTCCTCTGGAGAACAGGAGCACATACTCAGTGTGGCAGCCCAAAGGCCTGTGGGTCATGCACATACTCAGCTCTCCAAATAGGGGCTCAAATTAGGGCGTGTTTTTTCCCATTAATTAAAACAAAACCAAGAAAAAAAAAAAAGAAAGGAAGAAAGAAATATAATTCAATCTGACCCATCAAAATCTATTATTTTTCCTAACTACAAAGTGGCCAGGCAGGATATAGTCAGGCAGGAAGTATATGCGAGACTAGCAGACTAGGAGAATTCTGGGAAGAGGATTGGAGAGTGGGTGGCAAGAGAGATGCCAAGGAAGAAAGAGGCCCAGGAATCACTGGTAAGCCTAGACCATGTGGAGATACACAGATTAATAGAAATGGGTTAATAGTTAACAGCCCAGCTAGCTCAGTTGGTAGAGCACAGGACTCTTAATCCTAGGGGCATGGGTTTAAGCCCCACTTTAGGTACCACTGTGGATGGAGCTTTTTGTTCTGCCTAGTCCCGCAGCCATTCAGTCCCAAATAAATGCACAATGGCTTATATTAATTATAAACTGTTTGACCTATGGCTCAGGCTTTTTATTGGCTAGCTCTCTCTTAATTATTAAACAGTTTCTATTAATTTCTGTATCTCCATTTGGTCTAGCCATACCAGTGATGCCCAGGCCTCTTTCTTCCTTGGCAGCTACATGGCATCTCTCTCTCGACCCACTCCCGGAGCCTCTTCCCAGAATTCTCCTAGTTTGGTAGCCTTGCCTATACTTCCTGCCTGGCTATATCTTGCCTGTCCATTGGCTGAAACAGCTTTATTCATCAACCAATAAAGTCAGCACACAGTTGCAGGATACAGAAGGATCTCCCATATCAGAAAACAAATAATATACTTGCCAAATTATGTGAAGACATCAGAAGCAGAAAAAAATGTTTTACTAAATCTGAATGTAGAGAACAAATCTACACAATTCAGCACTTCAATGAACAACAAGCATCTAGTAATAGTGTCAGAGACACACATGGTTAGTAATCACTTGTGAGGAAGGGATCACTATGTTTGCTATATAGAAAATGATATTTTCATAATAGATTTTAAAAGATTATTTTCACATTTCCCTTGAATTATATCTTCGATTCTGTCTTTTTATTACCCCTTAACGGCTGCACTTTCACCATCTTGGAATCTAGCACCTGGACACGGCTTTAAGATCCTTATATGAGGCAGTCAATGCTTTCACTCCCCCACCTACCCCTCCATAGTGCTGGGGCTCAGATATAGGGCTTCACACTGCTCAGCACATGCTCTACTAATGAGCTACACCCGCAAGCCCTAATGGATTCCTTCCGGGCTGCATGTGTCACTTCTTCGTCCTGTTCACCTCAAAGTGTTTTCCTTTGATTTCCATTCCTCTTGAAACTCACCCAACTCTCTTGACTCCCTACCTTCTGTCATTTTTTCTTTTACGAATACTAAGAACATTCTATCGCTCCCCAATTAATTTCCAAGCCTAATTCCTGTTCACCCTGTAGGTCTCAGTTTGGCTGGTACTTGGTTCAGGTACCCTTTCTGGTTGCAGCCATCAAGGCTGGTATGGATGTTCCTCTGAGCTTCCGGACCTCCCCTTAATACTTATCAGACTTTATGGCAGTTTCTTGTTTACTCTTCCTATTAGGGTGCATTAAAATCCTTGAGGGAAAGTCATATTTTCCATCACTTAGAGAAGAGTTTGGCAAGTGATACATGTTGATAACTAACAAAATAAGTGAAGGAAGCAGAAAATGAACAGGTAGTAGGTCAGTTTGATCCCCAGACTTACACTGCTGTAGCAGAACTATCCTGGCATCTGGGATCTTCTGCTCTGTAATGTTAGGGAGTCAGTTATATTCATATTCTGCCATTTTCCTATGTTAGAATTTGGTAAAGTTCTAATGATTATGAATATCTTCAGAAGTAGATAGCATGAAACATGAAAGAGAGGTCCTAAGATTTTCAGGCACAAGGGACTGAAAGCATTTATTTGTGGTGAGAACTTAAAAACAAAACAAAACAAAAAAACCGGGAATGCTGATAGATGTGTTGACTTACCATTGCCACAGCTAAGTCAAGTTTATATAACCACACTTGTTTTAATGACTAACATGCATTCCTTTATTAGCAAGGTCAGTGTCTTGATTTAATTTTTAAGAAGTGTTTTCAAAGTAGACTTTAAAATCAATGAAGTAAAGAAGGTCTTACCCTGTAGCGCAGGCTACCATAAAATGTTAAGATCCTCCTGCTTCAGCCTTTTCTGAGACTACAATTACAGAGGCTTGCTACCATGCCCAGCTTCAGTAAATACATTCTTTAAACTGTGTAACAAGGAAGCCTTATAAATCAAAATTTAAAAGCTAGCAATAGATAAATTTAGGCATATAAAAGAGCATGGAAATTCTACAGCTGTGCTAGCTAGAGTAAAAACCTTCAAATAGTTTACAGAATAGTATTGACTTCATCTTGGAATCCAGTAATGACAAAAGTTTTAAAGAAGCTATATTGAGGGATACTTTATATACAGTGAAATGCACTGGGGACACAACATATAACTACTCTGGTATTGTTTATAGCATTTTCCTACTGCAATGGAGATGCATAATCACCCTTAGCCTTAAAAAAGTATCTCTGATAGTAGTCCACTTGCCCTCTTCAGACAACAGCTGCTTTTCTGACACTATAGTTTTGTATTCTAGAAGCTCACATAAGTGAAACTATTCTGTATACACTTCCATGTCTGACTTCTTTCATTTATGAAGTACATCGACATTGTTGGGCAGTCCTTTGCAGTCACAGTATGATTTTGCTCTAATTTATTAATTTTTGCACTGATTGAGTGCCATCTGCACAACTTCTATGGTACTGTCATTCTGATTTGGAAAGAGGCTGCGCCTCCCTCCATCTTTAGTCCTAGTGATGCGGGAGACTGAGCTGTCCTAATTCCTAGCTGTGTCTAGAACTGTATTTAACATTCTAGTGGAGTGACTGCTTTCTCCTTATGGTTCCAATTGTGACTTTCTTGCTGACAACTACGAGACTTTATTGGCCATTCATGTTGCTTCTTTTGAACTGTTTAATCTTTTGTTATTTTTTGTCTTTATAATGTATTACAATGTAAAAAATATATTCTGGTACAAGGCCTTCATCAGGTATATCTTCTGCAAATGGTGTCTCTTAATCTATAGCTTACTTTTTAATTTTTTTGAATATGCCTTCTGCAGAGGAGAAATTACATTTTGGCGAATGGCATTTTATCGGTTTTTGAAAAGTATTATATGCAAATACACACACTCTCTCTTTTTCTTTTGTGAGCTATCTACAAATTGTTCACTCACTCCAAGATCACATAAGTTCCTTCCCTAATGTTTTTTTTTATTTAAAGGATATAGTTTTAGCTCTTTTTCATATTTAAAAGTAAGAAAGTTTTACTCTGTTATGGCTGGTTTTGATCAACATTCAAGGTATATTATCATTGTTGCTTGGGGGGGTGATTTATACCCTCTCTCTACCTACTCTCTATTCCATTCATTATGAAAACAACTCATTCTGATGGAGGGAAACACAAGCTACTTTAAGCAGACTCTAAAGCCATCTAGAGTCTGTGATAAGGATCCCTGAGTAGGTATGCTTTTAGATATGGAAATATTTCAGTTTCACTCTTTCTTTGCTTTTCTACATTTCAAATTTCTTTGAAAACTTAAGGTAGTTTAATGAATCACTTTATCCCCTCCATATTTATTAGATTATATTCTTTAATCCCAGCACTCGGGAGGCAGAGGCACGCGGATTTCTGTGAGTTCGAGGCCGGCCTGGTCTATAGAGTAAGTTCCAGGACAGCTTCCAAAACAATAAAAAGAAACCCTGTCTCGAAAAACCAGAGAAAAACTAGACTATATTCTTTATATATTTTATAGTCATGATAATAAAGATACAGGCATGCAGTGTAGCCATAACTAAATACATTGCCCTGATACTATCCCAATATTGTAATGCTCAGTCATCCTTCCTAAAGGTATGTTCATACCCAGTATGAATAATAAAATATGTATAATGTAACTGGTGGTATCAACAGCAAGCATCTCAAAGATGAGTGAGTCTCCTGTGAATTTTAGGATCTCTTTGATACATTCTCTTTGGTAATAGTAAGTCAAATTAAAATGACAGAAATTTATATCTCTAATCAATAGGTTGTAGAATCAGTTTTATTTTGAAAATGTTAAGGAAATAGCTGAATAAAACTGGGATTTTTCATCATTACTTAAATTATTCCAGACCAAACAACCATCATTCTCTCCACTCTCTCTTTGGGGTGTTTGAGTGTGGTCTCTAGCACTTCGAGTACTTAAACCCCTGTAACTACATCTATTCTTGGGAAAGCTCCAGTTCAATCATTTTCAACAGACACACTGAAACTACACAGAATTCTAGACTACCACCTATCCCCCAATCGCTAAACCAACTGGCATTCAAAACAGTCCTGGAGTGTAATCTTATCTTGACTATAGCTTTTGGCTTCTGAAGAGGGAAACTGTAAAAACTAAACTTTTAACTCCCTAGTCACGAGTAATAGCATTTTGACTTTAATAAAACTGACTGGATTTTGTTATGAGAACTAAGAACGTGAATGTTTGGAACTTTGGGGTTAAATAGGTAAATCACAGGCTATAACTTAACACAGCTGTGAATTCTCTCCACCCCTTAGAATGTTCTAGAAGGATCCACAGATTCTTGGATGGCACAGAAGTTGCATTTTGGGGGCGGGCAGTTTTTGAGACAGGGTCTCTGTGCAGCTTTGGAGTCTGTCCTGGAACTAGCTCTTGTAGACCAGGCTGGTCTCGAACTCAGAGAGATCCTCCTGCCTCTGCCTCCCAAGTGCTGGGATTAAAGGTGTGCACCACCACCACCTGACCCAGAAGTTGCATTTTTTAGCTGTAACTGTCTTTGGTCTTGACTACTTGAATGCATTCTGAAGGTTCTTAATGCTTAATTATGTTTATTGGTCATTTATTCCAATCTAATTTGTATTTTTAATAATATGCTCAATATACTCAAAGGAGATAAGAAAATGCCCTATTGCTTACTATTTATAGTAGTAGGAACTGAGAACACAGGTGCACCCCCTGAGTTTAGGGTTAGGGCAAAGCAGATGGCTAGGCCCTGCAGATTGTTTGAACGGTGGTCTTGCTAATCTGCTTATTTCTAGAATACAATTTTAGCAGTAAAATGTGCTGCACTCTGGTTTTGTCTGACTTTATCTTGTGATAATTTTCTCAAAGTTATAAAATAAAGATAGATGTGCTTTACAATCCTTATGAAGGGCAGTTTGATTCTGCTTTGTGTTGTATGCCTGCATTATGTCTGTGTATCACTGTGAGGCTCACACCCATGGAGGCCAGAAGAGGGTATCAAATCCCTGGAACTGGAATTACAGACAGTTTGCCCA